TCTGCCCTGATCCACCCAATCATAGTAGCGTTGCTTCGGTCGGTAGTAATGATGATCATCGTCCATCATGAAGACTATCACAAGGGCGTTGGTCATCGACTGAACGGTCGGTCACGCCACCTTCCATGTGAAAACAAGTTGTTCTCTTTTTGTTTTTCTTTTCTCGAGAACCACACACGCGTACTTATCGCTTGTGCATCGCATCTCGTTAGCCAGTATTATGGATAGATGCGAGAGAGAGACGACGGATGGATGAACTCATTCGGTGCTCTCCCCCCTAAGGCTCGAACTTGTTGCTCAGAGTCTAAAGCGATTCTCATCCATCAGGATCTATGCGCAGGAATCAGGACACAAATCCCGCTGCAGCTTTTTCAGAGCCGCTACCGTTGCCGCTGCGACTGGTCTGATTATATTCACTCGTGCTCCTCCGGCTGTGTTCATGGAACGAAAAAAAAGAGAGATTGGCTTTTTAAAGCTCATTCTCCTTCTTCTTCAACGACGCAGAAGAAGGAGAACTCAAAATAAACACCCTCTGATCCCGGAATCGCTGCGGCAGTCAGAGTTGTCGTAGTAGCAGCAGCAGCGGTGGTGGTGAGCACCAGCCCGCAAAAGGGGCTTAAAGTCAAAAATGAATTATTGTTCTCCATAGGCAGCTTTCTCTGTCGCTCTTTCTCCTATCTAGCCACCCGTTTGCCTTCTCGGTCGACCCGAAAGACCGACCGACCGCCAACCCGCCTCACTGACTGCATTGCCTGGTCTTGGGTTGGGAGGTTATACCCTAGAATTCGCTCATCCGCAACAACCCCCAAATCCCTCCCCTTCGACATTCCCTCCCCTTCTCCGTCCCTCGGAAAGTCCGCGGATTAAAGTCAATGAGCTAGGATACCCGGGGGAAGATAGGCATCGAGCGCATACGATTGAAGCGCCAGATAGTCTGCCGTCGCAGTTTCCGAGAGCGCCGATCCTATTGCTCGTGTTGTCGGCCGTCGCAACAAGCCGGAAGCTTCCCTATCATTGACGCTGAGATTTCTTTTCCAAGAAAGGTTCTCTCGTTGCGAGAATCGCGACGGATCCTCGCTGTCAGCCTTTCCATTCCGCGTGCGCGATCGCGACACTTCGTGGATAAATGGCCTGGCGCCTCAACGAGACTTCTTTTCTTCTTCAAGTATGCATGATATATAATTTGAGCTGTGGTCCTGCGAGGGGCTGGATTCTCTAGCCCCGTACTGCTCGAGAAGTTTTGATCGAATTCCGGAGAATTAGGTATTGCAGCGCCAAGCCGACGGCTCGAGGAACTCTTTCGGTATGCATTAGAGATCGTGAGCTGGTAATCGCTCGCAAGGCAGCGGACGATAAGCTCGATCGATGACTTATGAAGGGATTCATTCTCGATTGTTCATGATGGATGGCGCACGCTCTTAGTGCTGAAGTCTGTCGTGCTCATCGAAGCGACGTCTAACTGATTGGCGCCGGAGGAGAAGACCGACCGAGCGACCGACCGACCGACCGAACGCCAACCAACCCGCCTCCGGGTCGACCGACCGAGCGGCTGAAGCCGACTCTGGTTCGAGACCTTTTCGGGATGGAGAGGAGCAGCGGCCTAGAATAGACTGCTCACATTTTTATGCATTAGATGACTGCGACCCTCGCGACTGCAGCTGTTCGAGCCGCTGAGCCCCGTCTCCGCAGCCTCGACTGGTGCAGCTGGCGGTTCCACTATCGCTGGTGTAGGCTGCGATTCGGGTTCTTTGAACGACACCGAACTAGCACTGCGTAATTTGTTTCGCGGAAATTCTCCGAATTCGGTCGAGGTCATTAGAAAAATTTCGGGGAGCCACGGCACAGACGCTTGAGGATCGGTCTCTGTCTAGAAAATCTCCCATCGGCGCGGCGGATATTGGAAAGCTCTCGCTCCGTCTTTTTTCGGAACGTCGCTCACGAAGCACTTCTCGTATTCCGGTCTTGATCACCGGTCTCGCGGTACCGGAAGAATTTCGTCAAGCAGACTCAGCTCTCCGCGGTAATTTTCTGAATGACGTTTCCATTTTCGTCAGGGATCTCTTAGTGAAGGCAACACGATCCTATGGAAAGATGCGGTTTCGACTACTTTTCGAATCCTTTGGCGAGCCTTGAGCGATGTCACTCATTCTAAAGTAACAGCCCGAAGAGGATGCCTCTTCACTCGCTTTCTCATGTTTCTTGTGCCGGCTTTCAAGTTTCAAGAGTTTTCTGAATATATCGTCTCTGTTCCATTTGTCTTGTGCGTAGTCATTTGATCCATGCATGAAAAGTGCTACTTCAGTCTATTTTCGTGAATGAATTCCGGGTTACTTCTCCTTTCCGACATGACTCCCGAGCAGTCGCTTTCGTGATCGGGCCTATTTGAAGAAACGCTTTTGGATGGCTCTCCCGGAATTCCTGCCCGATATCCCCCTGGTCTCGTCAGCTCGCTGGTCAGCGAGTATTCGAATCCTGAACCAAAGCAAAGGGGGAGCTCGTCTATTCTTAATGCTCATCCAACGGAGGAGGCGTCCCTCAGGGCAGACGTTTTCCTCCCCGGTTCCTCGGAGAAGGCCCCGACGTCCGTCTAACACTGGGCAGGGTCCCGGATTCTTGCGTACTTGTCAGAAACCGGACCGGAACCCGCTCATGACGGAAATCTAAATCCTGGATACACCTGCTTCTCCACTCTGGGTGGATATGGAGACCAATCATTCGATTTCGAGGACTCCGGCTCTCGAGCTCATTTCTTCCCTCCACGTCTCCGGAGTCCCTAGATAATTCAGATTAGCCATGATACGCTGAAACGCTCAAACCCATACGAGGATGATTCCGTCCCTTGCTGGAAACCGCTTCCGACGCACAGTGACCTCCGACAAAAAATTGAACGCTCGAACGACACGAGATAAAAGTTGACATTCCTGTAAAGCTCGAAAGTTGCTTAATCTCTTCGCGAGCCAGGCTGACGCGGAGAGGTGACCTGGGCACAATTATATCGCTCCGGAGGAAGGCGAAACACGGAGTTTCCTGTCGGGGATCCGACGGCTCAGCCTGGCCAACGACTACCTCAGCTGGAAGCTAATCTTTGGTCTAAATGTTGGTTGAAGGCATGAGCTCGGCGTGCCAGCCGTTGGCGAACTCGCTCGCTCGCCAACTCTCCCTTCAGACAGCCTGGCGAGCAATTCAAGCTCAGAGTTGTTATCTAAACGCGATGCTAAGCTTCCGGCGCATACAGGAAAGTTATCTCTAGATGCTCGTAGCTCCCGCCGTTCCCGATAAGCTTTCCCCTTTCGTAAGACAAATTCCGCCTTAAGGCTCTAAAGTGAAGCTTCCTGCAACAATAGATAACCACGAGAGAAAATGCTAGTTCAGAAACGTCGCAGCCGTTCCTGGGAATCTCTAGCGGCGACGGACGATCCAAAGTTTCCGATTGCGGCGCTATTCCCGAAGACTGAGCTCGAGCTGGAGCGGTCCACGTCAGAGGTTGAGTTGGAGAACTTTTAGCGGAGGAATGAAATCGATCACTAGTGGACGCCAGCGGCTCGACCTCAGTAAAATTCCGAGGGGGCCCAGTGGCGGAATTCCGGAAAACCCGGAAAGCGAGATAAATCGGCATATCTCTTCTCAGCACAGCTGACATCGGGCGATCGGGAGCGTCGAATATCCGATAGCGCCGAGTCTTCCTCCGAGAATTCAGGCTCGTGTCGCAGCCAATTCGCTCGTGTAACTGCTCACATGGGCCGCTAAAAATATGTCGACAATATAACTTTCGAAGTCAATAAGGACGGGGTGTCTCGCAGTGATCCGTTTCTAATAATGGTCGGGCGAGGCGGTAGTCGCTCGCCCGAGAAAGTAGTGCCTCCAGTAACTCCTCCCAATAAGGATACCCCGCGCTCACTCGTCTCAGGCCGTCGTCCTGAGCGCCTTCGGCGGCATGCGCGATACCCAGACCTATTGATTTAGGAGTTCTCGATCTGAGATTCTGAGGTCTGTTGCCGTAGACGAAGAGCTAACCTTTCTCGATAACCACGCCCATAGGGCGAGGTCCCACGACCACGACGACGGGTAATTGGCCCACATGATGACCATTGCCCCAATAGAATACATGGCTAACCCGGAACGAAAGACAGATACTAGTCCGATATGCACAAATCATCCCAGTGCTTACGAGACGAGTATGCCCTCTGAAATTACCCTCTTGTTGGGATTGACTCACGTCAGGACAGCGTCACGAACCCTTCAGGATTTGACTGTTTTTCTTCCAACCGTATTTCTTTTCCCTGCTGAAGCAGATCCCTTACTGATGTCTTCTGTCGCCCTTTTGTCGTCGAATAAAAGCATGCAGAAGTCAGAATTCGGAATAATCAGGCAGCGTGTGCTTGATCATAGCGCGCTGTCGAGAAATTCTCTCGGTCAGTCCCCCGAAGCCCGTCACAGGAAGCTCCTACCGGCCTCGAGTCGGTCCGGTGGTGGACGACGGGGGCGCTGGCCCGCGATTCGCGCCGTCTGAAGTTACATTGGCAGAGGCCAGAGGATTCCACACATCGCGGAAGCGAAGAATTCGTCCCAGACTCGGGCAGCTCTTGCTGCTGGAAGCCCCCTGATCTCCGACGAACCTCTTTCCCTGGCAGCCATTCAAGCTTCGCTATCGAATGACATTGTTTGTGAAACTCCAACGGCGCGCGCCATCCGTTACAGCGTATTGTCTTTTCCTATGTTGTGTCACAGCGCCAAAATTTGAAAAGAAGATTCCGGTACAGGAGAGATCCCGTAGAGGCGCTCGACGGAAGCCAGCGCGTGGTGCTTAAAGCTCCTCCGACATTGAAGGATAGTCGAGAAAAGAAGAAACCGAGCTGGAAGATTCGATCTCTCTTCTCAGATGACCGCCATGTTTTGACAGTATCGAAATCGCTCACCTCAATCAGTGTTCTCCGTCTCGGGTGAGTGGCGCGTATTCTCTCCCTTCGAGGGACTGCGGAATTCCGATGATGGAGGGTCGCATGGTGCGGTCCGGAGACGCGTCGCGCATTCGAATCAACTTTCGTTTTTAGCAAAAAAATGCACAGCTTTACCTCGTTCGGACTGCGTCCCGAGCTCATCAAAGCCGTTGAGGATCGTGGCTACTGCAAACCTTCCCCAAGTGAGTCGCGACTTCCGGAAATCCTTATATCTTCCTCCCTTAAAGCTCCCGTTACACTAGTAACGGTCGCTAAGCATCGCTATGATGAGGGATGGCTTGAGTGGCCGTTGCGAGCGTGAATCGTCCAAGAAAGGAGGCCGAGTCGACAGCGCTTTTCGGGAGAACTCCGACAGGTGACTCCTTCTGCAAGAGATCGTTCTCTTCATTCGAAGTTTCGTTTGCAGAAGAACCTTCGCTGCTTCCATCGATTAGCCGTTCGCCAAAGCTTCTCTTGTGAGGAGAAACATCGCTTCTTCCTCTTCTGAATGAAGCAGAACCATGGAGGCGAAGGAGCTTGATGCCTCCGGACCCTTCGGTGTATTCGTCGCGAAAAATTTGAACTCCCGTGGAAGCTCTCATTCGCTCATTCTTTTCGGTTCCAGTACAAGAGAAAGCCCTACCCGACGCGCTCGCCGGCCATGATCTGCTCTGTCAGAGCAAAACGGGGTCCGGGAAAACGGCCGTCTTCATCTTGAGTACCTTAAATCAGATGGAATTCGAAGACTTCATCGAGACAGTGGTTCTTGTTCCCACCAGAGAACTCGCGGTGCAAACTGTGGCCGAATATCAAATGCTTGGCAAATTCTTGAAGAACTGTCGGTGAGTCGCGATTTTCTCAGCGTCCATCGGGACCGTTGAGCAGGTTTCCGAGATTCCCAAATTGCTTCGAGTCCCTCCGTCATCCCTCGATTATTATCAGAGGGGCTTCGATTAAGGCTGGAAAAATCTGGATAGAAGAGCTGACATAGATGCCCCGATGAATGACGAGCCTCATTTCCAGAACGTCGGCATTCTTCGGAGGGTTACCGCTCAATGTGAATATAGCAAATATCCGCTCGTCTGCCCCCAATATCGTGGTCGCTACTCCTGGTCGAATGAGAGTTTTGGTGCAAGAGAGATACATATCTCTTCGGTGAGAAAACTTCTCGAGCTTCTGGCCTGATCATTCTTCTGAATGTAGTCTCGTGAGCTCATATTATTTCGAACCGTGGTTCCCCCAGGCGAGTCCGGCATTTCATCTTGGACGAATGCGACATGCTTCTGCGGCCTACATGTGAGTTCCGTCGGTCAGCGAGAGATAGCGCAGGCCCAGTGGCAGAATCATGATATCGTGATGCACCTCCGGACTGCCGGACTGTTCGATCGTGGCATTCGGGAAGCTGATTTTTTCTTCAATTTGCAGCAAATATGTGCTGTGATATTCGCTATATCCTCGACCATTGTCCCGAGGACCGTCAAGTTCAGATGTTCACAGCCACGATCACCGTTCCTGAAGCAGAGAGGGAGAAACGCTTCCTTAAACTCATGCATTGTGTAGGTTTGAGCATTAACAACCCCATGACCCTTTGAAAATATTCTTCCAAAACTCCGGACATGCTTGGGGAAGAACTCCTAAGACCGGGCACTGAAAGGCAGGCTTTGTTTTTGTACACGAGAGGAGGGAATCCCACGAGCGGATATTCGAGCTGGAAAATTCCATACAGATGTGCTCTCCTCTTCCAGCCGAAATACATCCTCGTCAAAAAGCAATGTGAACTCACTCTCTCGAGTGTTTTACAATATCGATTGACGCTTGAAGATGAGTGCAAGAAGACGAGAGCCTTGATAAATCTCCTGGACAGGATCGAGTTCAATCAGGTGAGATTCCGCCCCGCGAGAATGCTAGAGTTCCGATCGGGTTTCCACAGTATCTGTACAGAATCTCGTGATTGGAATGACTCGTTTCCCTATCGCCGAAATTCAGCCCAGGCCCCCATGTCGGATCCTTGATGGTCCTTGGAGTTTCATCGCACGTTTGATTGGTCCTCAGGTGGCGATTTTTGTAAATACAGTTGAACGGTGCTGCGTCTTGTGTGGAATTCTCGAAGAAAAGAATTTCTCAGCAATCGCCGTCCACAGCAATATGACACAGGTGAATTCGGAACTAGATAGGGGGAGGCGGGGTATTATTTTTCCTTTTCGCTGCGTGGATTCTGATTTCGATTCTGCTGTGGGCCTGAAGTCACACTTGATGATCCGTTTTCACAGGAAGACAGGTTGGAGAATTTCGCGAAGTTCAAAGATTTCCGCCGTCGCATCGTGGTAGCCACCGATCTTATGGGTCGAGGGATTGACGTCGAATTTGTGACCTTCGTCATCAACTACGATGTGCCGATCGACGAGAAAACTTATCTACACAGGTGATCCGGAGTGGGACTCATTTCTAATGGGAAATAAAGTTGAAGAGGCGGATGATGATCGCGCCGAATGAGGCCTACGTCTACCGAAACTTTGTGGTTTGCGCTTGCGTGCGCCCAGGTTCTGACATTCCGAGGATTTCAGAATCGGGCGGACAGGACGCATGGATCGTAGAGCCCTTGCAGTATCCTTCTGCGTCAGCCAACAAGACCAAGGAGTCTTGCAAGACGTCCAAGAAGCCTATGGAGTAACTCTAGTCGAGTTGCCACAAAATCTGGATCCGGAAGTGTACCTAGACTACAAAAGCTGATTTTTCCTAGCCACGAATAAAGCCCAAGACTTCATCGAGAATCTTCTTGTTTAACATCGTTTCCATGGTGCGAAAAAATCCCCGTGAGATCCGAATCCTCTCCCTAGCTCGTAGCTTTGAGATGCTGATGATTGACTTACCCCAGGTCCCTGGGCTCCCATTGACACGGAGTTTTCCGGTGGACTCCGAATAGGAGCCGGGAAGGACTTGCTGACAGAGGGAGATATCTCCTTCCGAGTCGAAGATTATTTTCCGCTGCCTACTTCGATTCAAGCCTACGGGCTCGTAGGTGCCTCCTCATTCAGTTTCGGGTCTCGGCCCCCGGAATTTTCGAATCCGGGTCTCGTTGAACTCATTCCGCAGACTTTCGCGGATAGACCTGCATGGGAGCGAGAATTACTGCGATTGCGAGCCCCTCTCCGCTGTCGACTTTAGGATTCGCGCTCAGGTGAAAATCGGGGCCGTGAGGATCCAGAGCCATCAGTTTCCAGAGAACAACCGCTGACCGAGATTGTCTCGAATCCCTCCCTGAGATGCACCGCCGATCTGTGAAATGACCCGACGGCTTCATATTTCCATCACTTCTGACAGGCGTGGAGGCAGGGCTCGACTCAAGTCAAGCAAGGGTTTATGCTCCAGCGCCGGACAGGTTTTATCGTGAGAGCCCTTTCGAGCCTCGGGGTATCCAGGTTATTAGCGGTGCGCTGTTATGACATCGTGAGAGACCATTGGTATCACAACCGCTCCGACCTCCTTCCCGCTAGCCACGTCGAGTGAGGCAAAGTTTTGTGCTGAGACTTCGAGCGCAGCGTGGGGGTGGAGGAGGCGATTCATTACCTCCGAAGAACATGGAGCGCTCGGTGACACCGAGAAGTCCCTGAATCACGAATCGCGTCGGAAGCGACGACCTCGAATGTATCGGATTCATGTCGGCAAAAAGAGTATGAGCCAAAAACACATCTGGCCGACGAACTCTCGGTCAGCAAGGGAGGGACAAGGCGGAGCAGGGCAAAGCAATCGGTGTTTGACGCCGCTTGTCAGATCCATCAGAAGACCGAGATCGGATCCCTGCTTCTGAGTCCTCGTGTCTGACAGCCGGACGGACGGGCGGGCGGGCGTCGGACATATCCCCTGTTTCCTAGGAGGAAAGCGACCGGGAACGAAGAGATTGGACGGCGGTCAGCGTGCAGCTCTTGATGGATTGAAGAGGGTATTGACTACGGGCAGGGGAACGGGAAATTCTGTTATGTAATAACAATACCTTAGCTGCCCATTCAGAATGCCGGCCGCTCAGCTAGGTCGGTGGCTCGCCGAAGGAGCGGAGCCCCGGGTCGGGGTGAAGTCTAGAGAAGATCGGAAGACTTGGGGCGGTGTCCTCTAGATCACGCACACAGACACCCACTCGAGGGTGAACGATTGAGTGAGTTGCCAAATGCAGTTGGAAATTGAAGCTTATTCTGCGGAACGCGGCTCAGATTCGCCATCAAGCGAATCTCACTCAGCGCTTGGACGAGAAGAACAATCTTCAGACATTGCCGAAAATCATTACGCCATCCACTCGGGGGTCTGCGAGCCCACGACATCGATAGCCTAGTGATCTGTTCGGGGAAATTCTTCCCGGAGTCGTACGAGATGAAGTAATGGGGCGGGCTCTCTGCAAACAGCGCCTTTTCCGAAACTGTGAGCGACACTCGAGCGCGCACACCCGCGACACCGAGCTAATTTATCATTCGTCAATGGGAGCGGGCCCATGTCTCCCTGAGCGGCGCTATCCGAGGTCTACATCCACTGACATCTGAATGGAAACTTCATCGCTAGGACTGATGCCTTGAGTGTCTCGGATACAGGAGGACGAATAAACATGGAAGTGATCCTCGAAGTGAGCGAGAGAGATGGGACTTGGAGGAAGTTAGTGAACTACGATACATCATCTCATTGACTTCTCCTCCCGTCCTCCTCCGGCAGCGCTATAGGCGAGAGGAAACGATCAAATTCTCGGAGCTCTCATTCCTAGAGCGGGTCATTATTCCTTGCGAATCTTCGAAGGGCAGAGCACCGTTCAGATGGTTTGGCATCCGATAAGAAAATTGCGTTTGCCTCTTATCGAGCAAAATTCGTCCCCGACCGATATCTCGCGAGTCGAATCATCATCACGAGTTATACGCAGTAATCCAATGTGAGCGAACCCATACGGGAGACGGGATGTGCTCGGCGATTTCTGTCAGTTGACGTCGAGAAGGGTCATCTGTCTATCTATTGTTTTCTTGCGGTAATCAGTCAGAAATGAGAGTAATAAGATGTGCACCAGACGGACTTGAAGCCTGGCAAGTTCCGCAGCCCGGCAATCCAGTCAAGCAGCCGGCAAGCGACGCAACGAACAATATATAGCGATTCATAAATCTCGCTGTTCCACATGCCTCAGAGAACGCAGGACAGATATTGCTTCGGCCGTGAGCGGGAAGACGTCTATGTCTCCCATACTCATCTTATGCTGTCAGCCGTATTATACGAGAGGATGATGCCATTATGTATTGCGGGAGACGAACAATCATTTTTCATATAAGAATGACGCCTGCTCGCCGATCCTGACCAAGTTTGATTCAATGCTCGGATCGACGTCCATCTGTTGGAGCCTGATCCCTCGGAAATCACATTTGATCGGGTCGTCCAACGACCGAATTATCGAAGTGCAGTCGGTGCTGACGTCCGGCTCGTTATCAATCGTTCCACCGGAACGGGATTTTTCCGGAAAAGCGGATGCGACCTTTGGAGTTCAGAGGGCTCTCCGTGATAGGCGTCCGATTTCTTCCCTCGGACAAAATCCTTCTCGGTCTCTTCGAGTACTCTCAGGTCTAGAGACGACACGTTCGAATACGTTCGGAGTTCGGGAGAAGCTCTGAATTCCCCAGAATCGAAAATAGGCGACATGCAGCATCGGGGTATCTCCTCCGAGCTAGAATGCAGTTTAACACGCATGTAGTTCAAACCTGCAGCATCTATGGGTTATCGCGGTAGAGGAAAGGCCAGGGGTAGTTGTCGTTCGCCGCTCGTCCGACAGGAAACTTGCTGGGCCGGATATTGGATGATATTCGAAATTTCCTCACCAAGCCATCAGTGGCGAGAGGCGACTCCAGCCCGAAAGTAAAACGGCCTCCGGACGGAAAACCTCATTTATCAAAACCTGCGACCATGTAAGGGAATCGAGAGAGTGTGGAGAGAATTCTACGCACAGCTGAGGAGAAAACGCGAAGAGCTGAAAGAACACGATGACATTGAAAAGGTCGTCGTGATCGTCATTCAGGCGACCGGGGAGCTGTGATAATTTATCATCACACGCTCACGGCCGTCGTGGTCGGTGGTCATTCCTAGAGGGAGAGGGTCACTCGTGGGAGATTTCCCGAGCTGGTGGAGGGAAAACGGGGGGAAAATCGGCGGTACTTTTGTGCGACTCTCGCCCCGTGGACGAAGGTCGTCGTGGGCCGAGCCACTTTCGATCTGGCCTCGCTCCATCTTTAACCAAGCTCGGACTACTTCCAGAGAGCAGGCCGGCCGGCTGGCTGGCTTCTGCTCGCCCCGCGAGCTTTCGCCTCCGTGGTAGATCGTCCTTTCGTCCTGTCGAGCGAGGAGAAAGGTGTTGCATTTTTAGGCATCTGACGAGGAGGGCGCCCGCGGCCACCAGCGCTCGGCGAGAACAGATCGTGGACAGGAGCGGGAGGGACAAGTACGCATCTCCCGTGCGACTCCGGGGAGTCCAAAAACGTGAGATTAATGCAATACTCGCGTGCCATCCGCATATATAATACATATACGTGAGGCGTACGCGACGAATGGGGTGAAGCGGACATAAGAACTCTTGCGCTTCACCGCCGGTCGCGGAGGAATGCTGGAAATGAGTTGTCCTCGAAGTGGCCGGCCCGACCTGAGTCCGGCGAGTCCACTGGTGTGAACGAAATTCCCGCCGCGGACCGAATTCCGAGCCGAAAACTCCTCGCGGGCCACTTTTCCCACATTGAGTTCCAATTAATTCAGAGGGGATTCGATCAGATGAGATGCAGAGCTACGAGACATTAGCCACTCAGGAAACCGAGTTTCCCCTCTTTTTCTAGATACCTGGAAATCAGTGGTGTCGAGCGTCTCGAGACTCGAGAGTTATGTGTCAAGTATACGTACGGCTTCCACCACCTCATCTGCATCAGACCTCTTTACCACGACGTGAACGAGCAATGCCTTTGCTCTCTATGCGGAAGATCATGTGGGGATTACCGCCTATACGAATGCGCAGCTAGGGAGAATTTCGATTGGACTAAAACGTTACTTTGTGATACTGCACATATAGCTTGCTACTAGTCAAATACGCCGACAATAAAAGCAATTCAATCGATCGAGTATACGTACATCCGGAAGCATAAATGAAGGAGAGCTTTTTTGCAGGGGAGAATTGGGAGAGTATATGAGAATGAGTCAGGCGCGGCAATCGTCACCTCTCTGTCATGCTTCATGGAAGTTTATCCGTTCAAGCTTCGATAAAATGTTATGCATTTCGGGTTGGATTTTCAATATACTAACTAAGAGCTCGTTGTTTGTCTGTTGAACAACAGCTTGCTGTTTGATATGCAATGTCGGCCCTATTATGTCGTCCCAATCTTTCATTCTCCCTGGCGAAAGAATCCGTTTCGACTGGAGAGAACGATGAGGAAAGGTCCCAGATTCGACGGTCGTCAAGAAAGCTTCGAGCGAGAAGCGTGCAATGCTTCCAAAGCGCGATCTTGAGGTTGGGGGAGATTGCATAGGAGCAAGAAAAAGGATTTTCGGAAGTTCCGAGTTCCCATCGACTATTTCCCGAGGAAGTGTCGATGGAAAACATGCGCATTGGGGGAATTGACAGAAGGTCGTTACGGTCCACAAAGAATCGCTCCGCGAATCACGGCTTTGGCTTCACCGGACCACTTGGTGTTATCATCGAGCAGATTCCGTGCTCTGCAAGAGGAATCCCGACATTG